GCTACTGCCGATGGCAGTGTTGAGGGAAGCTGACAATCATGACATGGAGAGCAGTCATTGGAGTTGCAAGGAGGATGGGCATGGGGCCGTGCTGGAGATGACAATGCATATACGAATGGTGCTGACGATAATGCTGAGACAACAGTCATCTTCATACTGAAGTTCGAGCTTTCTCCTTCGCTTTCACTGTTCTGCCCACTCCACTCCACTTACCCATTCCCCTTTCCTCACTTATTCTTGGGACTAGTCTGACCTCAAGCAGCGGTGCAGTTATCTGACGCAAAGGTGGATGGCCTTAACATAATCTGTATTGAAGGCAACTCATTCGAAGCAATATGAACTATGCCCTGTACTTTGTCCATCTATGGCACCTCCTAAATAACTATTTGTTCCGCTTTAACTCCTTTTTATCTCAAAGTTGCATTTAAGCCTTCACGTTGATGACAGGAGTAAAAATGTGGTGATATGCTAATTTAAGCTGACAGTGTGTAGATGCATATTTCTTGCACTCGCTCGAAGTATCGTATGCATTGCAGATGTCATTCGTCTTCTTTTGCAGAAGTGACACTGCCTCTGATCCTGAGCACCAAAAGTGGTCAACAAAGGTCATCATTAAGACGGTGTGATAGGATATGCTGTTAGCAGCAGCATGTTGTGCCTACATGTTGCTTCTATCTACCCTCTTCTCTGCCCTTTCAATGCACACGACCAATGTGTTGGAACTGACGGAGCGTATGGCATTCGGTGTGTATAGTACGGAGAAGTGTGAGGGTAATGTTCTTGCATTCTAACACCTACCTCCTCACTTCAAGCCATTGATGTAAGTAAAGTGGTTGTAGTGGGGGCAGAACACACGAGTATGTTCGACTTCCAAATCCGACCTCATTATATCACGATTTTTGTGTGCATAGACTTACCTAATCACAGCCGGTTCCACTGCGTGCTTGTGGTATTCAAAGCAGCAGCAGACGTTGTGACACGCAGGCAGTTCACGGTGTCGCCCATGTCGATTGTTGAGCTTGGATAATATATATGACCAGCATTATAGCATGACTTTAGCATCAAGTGATGAACTAAGGAATTTTTTTACAGACTGCATGAGCTGCATCAAATGTCACTCCCGAGACGGTTAAATCGTCGCATAAGAATAGCACAATTCAAAGTAACTCTGGTTTGCTACTAAATCAATGGGAGTAGTGCATTTCCTTCTAATACGAAATTCATGCAACATAACTGTATTACATCAGTACTACACCACTAGCATTGGTTCCTCACTTCACCGAATTCTTCTTCTTTTTTATGACAGCGCGTGTATGGACTTCCTTTGGTGTTATGATGACTTTGGATTAAATGGAATGTCAACAGATTGTCAAACGTTTCATTGGCATTTGCGTAGCGCCACTGAATGAATGACGAGCTACACTTTGCATGAGTTAAATGAGCGCACTTACACCTGCTTATTTATTTTCTACTAGGACACTCCCGAGTCTTAGGTATTCTTAAACAAAAGACTTATTTTTTATGTTTTTCAACTGTATAAACATGGCTATAATCTTAAGGAGCAGCAACACAGGCACCAGAAGTGTATTTTTCATTATGCAATTAACGTTTTTCTAATACTTTTAATTCGCAAATTGCATGTTTGACGCAGCCAGTAGTTTAGTAATTTTAGATAGGGCCTTTTTGGAGAATTTCCCATTCCTTTTTATTACTACCGCCTTGAATGCCGACAATGGTATGTCTTTTCATTTCCTTATATTAGTAGCTTGCCTTCTCTATTACCGTGGCTAATCTATTACTCAAAATTAACATACTCTGCGTGGTCCTTTTTAAGTGTGGAAAAGGAAATTGTGTTTATTTAGGAAATGTTCCGTTCACTCTGATGGAGGGAGTGCATTTGGAGGGGCGCAGAATGCGGATCATTCCTCGTGATCGACATTTTGATGTAGTGCAAAAAATAAGCAAGAGAACCCTGATGGGTTTAGTGAACATATTGCCATAATTGTCCTCATTTGACTTGCGTGCTTATTTATCTACCGCGCCTAATCTCCATTAAATATTGACAAATTAAGCAAAATGAGGAAATTAAATTAGTTTTAGAAGTTAGGGAGTAAAAATATGTTTGATCGCAGCTTTCCTTTAATTGGTTAGTTGACTAATTTACTAATTTGTTGAATGATTGGCTGGTTGACCAATTGAGTGATTTCTTTGGATGATTGACTTTCGTCCCCTCAGAAATTGTAAGATGGTGATGAGAGTTTTTGATGATTTTCACCAACGGTACTACCTAAGCTCAAATCAGCCATTGATAGCGTCGTAATATAGCAGTCTTCATGCTCCAACAACTTAGACTGTGCGATCCTCGGGCCCCATGAGAAATCGCCAAGTGGCATACTCACAGAGAAAGGAACTTCAAATGGCTTTTTGTATGTTTTCAGTTGCATCACATGAATTTCACTGCATGGCGAATTGCGCTATGCTTACTAGCCTGTCCTAGTAGACTAGACAGAGAGAGTGCATAAATTTGCTGAACTAGAGGCGCAAATCTCATCCATTTCAATAGAATTCAACAAGGCACTCTTAGGTACTGATGTACTGCCTTTAATCATCCAGAACCAGTCTTTGAAAGCAGACCATAGCGGATATCATACAGTCTATCCCACCTTTTAGCACTGCTTCTGGTCTTTACCCACAAAAGTCGATAGAGGTAAGGAATTTAAAGGTCAAGGAGAATGCTATCTTATTATCATTGTTACACACATCAGTGAAAGGACCCGTAAAATTAATAGGTAAAATAACGAGACCATATATTGGGGGTTAGAACTGCGACCACGTCATACTTGAGGCTGTGTTTGTGTTAACCTTGTGCTGCGCCGTATTGCCATTTTGATGTGCATTCATACGCCCCAAAGTGTTTTTAGGCAATAATTAGCTGATTTTTATGAAACACTTGAACTCTCTTCTTGTGCAAAGATGGCAACAAATAAAGGAGATAAATTCCTGGGAACAAGGCAAATATTAAGTATTCGAGGTTAATTTGCCTTGTAACTACCTGTTCCATGCTATTGTTTTACACGTAACCGTGGAGGTTTAACGTGACTCTCTTCCACCAAGATTAGTTATGCTGTGAAAGAGACTGAAATAAGGACACTTTGGAGACCATGTGGACTAGTCTGACGGATTTATAAAGTGATTTGTTACCACTATCAGCGAACAGGAGGATAGGACAAAAAAATTTAAGG